ATGTAAACTGACAAAAACAGACAAAAACGGATGTAAGCAGATGTAAACAGGCAAAAAAAAACGGATGTAAACTAGCAAAAACAGACAAAAACGGATGTAAACAGACAAAAAAAAAGGATGTAAACAGACAAAAACAGACAAAAACAGATGTAAACTGACAAAAACGGATGTAAACGGATGTAAACTGACAAAAACAGACAAATGGATGTAAACTTATGAAAAATGGATGAAAAAAAGGATGAAACACGGATGTGAACTGATTTGTTTTTTCTTGGAAAAAACGTGACTGAACTGATGAAAAAAAAAGAACGCCCGTGTGAAAGGGGCCTAAAACTGCACACAGTTAACCCTTTGATCGCCCCTCATTGTTTTCAAATTCGATTCCAATTGTCCAAATTCGGTCGAAGTGAATTCGTGAAATTCGAATCTGCATTCCAATTCAGACTTTTTATTTTTTGATTCAAATGCGGCTGCTGAAGTTTTCGCATCTCAGAATCGCAATGCGCTTGGATTTCACATTCGTTTCCGAACTGAATTTCAGAAAAAACTGAACAAAAAACGGATGTAAACAGACAAAAAAAGGATTTCATTCAGGTCAATTCGTTTTCAAAAACTCATTTAATTTCGCTTCGTTTATTCATTTTCGAATCGAATTTCAAATTCGAACGCTGCTATTTCGGACGAATTTTGTTTCGTTGTTTCGGAGGATTCGTTCACTATTTTGATTCTGAACTCGGGATACATCCGAATTTCCAAATAACAAAAAAGTTGTCCAAATTCAACATGTCTAGAAGGGGGCTTAGTTTGTATTAGTGCCGGTTCACACCGCAGAAACGCAGTCCAGATGTGTTCTGGATGCATTTCTGTATGCACGATTTTGGTGCTTTTTGGTGCGTTTTTGATGCATTCCGATGCATTTTACAGCTTTCCAGTTCATTTTTTCCCCCTCTTTTTCTTCTAAGTAGGGACATGTACATTCCAGTGCATTTTTGGTGCATTTCAGTACATTTTGATGCGTTTTACTGCATTCCTCTACAGTTCTGTGCAGGAAAAATGCTGCCTGTTCTACTTTTTTTCTGCAACTAGAACCAAGATCAGCAAATATTTTCTAATGTCTGCTTCACACCATAGAAACGCAGTCTGGATGAGTTTCTGTATATGCGTTTTTTTTGACACGTTTTTGACGTGCATTTTTGTTTTTTATGCATTTTTTTTATACGTTCCAGATGTTATTTTTCCTCCTTTTTAGGGTCATTTGGGGTCCATCATGTTTTTGATGCGTCCCAGTGACTTTTTTAAGCATTTCAGTGCGTTCTGGTGTGTTTTTGATGCGTTTTACCACATTCCAGTACTATTCTGGGCAGGAAAAATGCCGCCTGTTTTAATTTTTTTTTTCTGGAACTGGAACCATTGTCTAAGGTCCGCTTCACACCAAAGAAACACAGTCTGAATGCGTTTCTCTATGCGCATTTTTTACGCATTCCGGTGCATTTTCCCCCCTCTGTTTTTTGGTCATTTGGGGTTCAGTGTGTTTTTAATGCGTTCCGGTGCATTTTTTATGCATTTCAGTGCATTCCGATGTGTTTTTGATGCGCTCCGGTGCATTTTTTATGCATTTCTGTGCATTCCAATGTGTTTTTGATGCGTTCTGGTGCATTTTTTAAATGTGTTTCAGTGCGTTCCGGTGTGTTTTTGATGCGTTTTATCGTGTTGCAGTACTATTCTGGGCAGGAAAAATGCAGCCTGTTCTACTTTTCTTTTCTGGAACCGGAATGCACTGGAACTGTAAGCACTGATGTGAACTATGACATTGACAACCTGCTTTCTGTGCGTTTTGGATGCAGAAAAAACGCACACTGGAACGCATGGAGTGTGAACCGGCCCTTAAAGTGGACCTGTCAGTAACTTTTACATGGTTTGTATACTTCCCCTCTAATCTCTTATTTTTTTTTTCTGCCAACCAAAAAAAGAATTTAAATCTGGACTCCGAGCAGAAAATCGTTCATTGAAATATATTCCTCCATAACCATAAATGATATAAATCCCCTTTCTGTCCATCAAATGTCTGCAAACCCAGATATCACCTTGTAATAGTAACAGTGACATCATCAATGGGCTGTACATAGCCCGTGCAGAGAGCAGAGCTGTGGGAGGGGCCTATCAAGCTCCACCCTCTACAGGCTGCCTGCAGGAAACAACAGGAGGGGGCGGAGACCAGACCAGTCACCCTGCAAAAGGAGAGACAGAGAGCAGAGCTGTTGGAGGGGCCTATCAAGCTCCACCCACTACAGGCTGCCTGCAGGAAACAACAGGAGGGGGCAGAGACCAGACCAGTCACCCTGCAAAAGGAGAGACAGAGAGCAGAGCTGTGGGAGGGGCCTATCAAGCTCCACCCACTACAGGCTGCCTGCAGGAAACAACAGGAGGGGTGGAGACCAGACCAGTCACCCTGCACAAGGAGAGAGAGCAGCAGTGAGCGGTCTTTATTCCAGGAAGTCTCACACTGGATTCCTTCACAGATCTGGAAGAAATTACACAAAGCACACCGAGATTCAAGGAGAAGACACATGACCAAGGGATTTAGATATCGTTTGCTTATCCTGGAGTTCAGCTTTAATCGGTATCTGGAAAAGTCGGCACTGATAGAAATGCATGGGCTGCCATTGCTGAATGCCTTTAAAAACAATCCTAATCTGCGTCCCATTGAGGAACTTTCCCTTCACTTCCGGTCCTGGTGACACAACAGGAAGTGCGAGGAAGTCTTTATAAAATGGGAAGACATGCCCTCTTATGGTGGCCACACACCATTCAATGATTAAAGTGCAATTTGATCCAAACAATCAAATAGGCATAGCTTCCTTTAGGTCAAGTCGATTGGCCAGGGCGGGATAAGTATTGATCATTTTGGGGGGATTTGGGGAGGGTCATGATATGAGCTGGGGGGGGGATTTGGGGAGGGTCAGGATTTGAGCTGGGAGGGGGTTTGAGGAGGGTCAGGATTTGACCTGCAGGGGGGATTTGGGGAGGGTCAAGATTTGATCTGGGGGGGGGGGGGGGGATTTGGGGAGGGTCAGAATTTGAGCTGGAAGGCGGATTTGGAGAGGATCAGGATTTGAGCTGGGAGGGGGATTTGGAGAGGGTCAGGATTTGAGCTGGGAGAGGGGGGATTTGAGGAGGGAGAGGATTTGAGCTGGAAGGCGGATTTGGGGAGGGTTAGGATTTGAGCTGGGAGGGAGATTTGGGGAGGGAGATGATTTGAGCTGGGAGGGAGATTTGAGGAGGGTCAGGATTTGAGCTGCGAGGGAGATTTGGGGAGGGAGATGATTTGAGCTGGGGGGTGGGGATTTGGACAGGGTCAAGATTTGAGCTGGGAGGGGGATTTGGGGAGGGTCAGGATTTGAGCTGGGAGGGGGATTTGGAGAAGGTCAGGATTTGAGCTGGGAGGGGGATTTGGAGAAGGTCAGGATTTGAGCTGGGAGGGGATTTGGAGAGGGTCAGGATTTGAGCTGGGAGGGGGATTTGGGGAGGGTCAGGATTTGAGTTGGGAGGGAGATTTGGAGAAGATCAGGATTTGAGCTGGGGGGGAGATTTGGGGAGGGTCTGGATTTGAGCTGGGAGGGAGATTTGGAGAAGGTCAGGATTTGAGCTGGGAGGGGGATTGGGGAGGAAGATGATTTGAGCTGGGAGGGGGATTTGGGGAGGGTCAGGATTTGTTTTGGGAGGGAGATTTGGAGAATGTCAGGATTTGAGCTGGAAGGGGGATTTGGGGAGGGAGATGATTTGAGCTGGGAGGGGGATTTTGGGGAGGGTCAGGATTTGAGCTGGGAGGGGATTTGTGGAGGGTCAGGATTTGAGCTGGGAGGGAGACTTGGAGAGGGTCAGAATTTGAGCTGGGGGGGATTGGGACAGGGTCAGGATTTGAGCTGGAAGGGGGATTTGGAGAAGGTCAGGATTTGAGCTGGGAGGGGATTTGGAGAGGGTCAGGATTTGAGCTGGGAGGGGGATTTGGGGAGGGTCAGGATTTGAGCTGGGAGGGAGATTTGGAGAAGGTCAGGTTTTGAGCTGGGGGGGGAGATTTGGAGAGGGTCAGAATTTGAGCTGGGAGACGGATTTGGAGAGGGTCAAGATTTGAGCTGGGAGGGGGATTTGGGGAAGATCAGGATTTGACCTGGGGGGGGGGGGATTTGGGGAGGGTCAGGATTTGAGCTGGGAGGGAGATTTGGAGAAGGTCAGGTTTTGAGCTGGGAGACGGATTTGGAGAGGGCCAGGATTTGAGCCGGGAGGGGGATTTGGGGAGGCAGAGGATTTGAGCTGGGGGGGATTTGGGGAGGGTCAGGATTTGAGCTGGGAGGGGGATTTGGAGAAGGTCAGGATTTGAGATGGGGTGGAGATTTGGAGAGGGTCAGGTTTTGAGCTGGGAGGGGAATTTGGGGAGGGTCAGGATTTGAGCTGGAAGGCGGATTTGGAGAGGGTCAAGATTTGATCTGGGAGGGGGATTTGGGAAAGGTCAGGATTTGACCTGGGGGGGGATTTGGGGAGGGTCAGGATTTGAGCTGGGAGACAGATTTGGAGAGGGTCAAGATTTGAGCTGGGAGGGGGATTTGGGAAAGGTCAGGATTTGACCTGGGGGGGGATTTGGGGAGGGTCAGGATTTGAGCTGGGAGACGGATTTGGAGAGGGTCAAGATTTGAGCTGGGAGGGGGATTTGGGAAAGGTCAGGATTTGACCTGGGGGGGATTTGGGGAGGGTCAGGATTTGACCTGGGGGGGGATTTGGGGAGGGTCAGGATTTTAGCGGGGGGGGGGGGGTTGGAGAGGGTCAGGTGTGGCAGCTTAGTTGTGCCCGCCAGTAGGTAAATTACTACACCTTCTACCTTCATCCATCAGGAGGCGCCGTGCTGTGCAGCACAAGGGTCTCAGCCTTTGGGCTGGGTGTATGTAAATTTATTGTATGTTCCCAGCATTTGTGGTTGTTTTTATTTGCCACATCTAAGTAAAATTCTGTTGTGACAAAAGCTGGTGTTGGGGTTGCTTTCCTCGTTCGTGACTTCACTGTATCCTGGGGAGCCCACCCCGGTACACGGCTTACACCTGCATTCACTATATCCGCTCTCCCCGGACTATATCCGCTCTCCCCCCCGCATTCACTATATCCGGTCTCCATGGACCCTGCATTCACTATATCTCTCCCCGGACCCTGCATTCACTATATCCGCTCTCCCCGGACCCTGCATTCACTCTATCCGGTCTCCCCAGACCCTGCATTCACTATATCTGGTCTCCCCAGACCCTGCATTCACTATATCTGGTCTCCCAGACCCTGCATTCACTATATATCTGGTCTCCTCGGACCCTGCATTCACTATATCCGGTCTCCATGGACTCTGCATTCACTATATATCTGCTCTCCCAGACCCTGCATTCACTATATCCGACCCTGCATTCTCCCCGCACCCTGCATTCACTATATCCGCTCTCCCGGACCCTGCATTCACTCTATATCGGTTCTCCCCAGACCCTGCATTCACTATATCCGGTCTCTGCCCCGGACCCTGCATTCACTATATATGGTCTCCTCGGACCCCCCTGCATTCACTATATCCGGTCTCCCGGACCCTGCATTCACTATATCCACATATCCGGTCTCCCCGGACCCTGCATTCACTATATCCGGTCTCTCCCCGGACCCCGCATTCACTATATCGCTCTCCATTCACTCATCCGCTCTCCCCGGACCCATTGCATTCACTATATCCGCTCTCCCCGGACCCTGCATTCACTATATCCGCATTCATTCACTATATCCGCTCTCCGGGACCCTGCATTCACTATATCCAGTCTCCCCCCGGACCCTGCATTCACTATATCCGCTCTCCCAGTCTCCCCGGACCCTGCATTCACTATATCCGGTCTCCCCCGGACCCTGCATTCACTATATCACTATATCCGCTCTCCCCGGACCTGCATTCACTATATCCCCGGACTCCCTGCATTCTCCCGGACCCTGCATTCACTATATCGCTCTCCCCCTGCATTCACTATATCCGCTCTCCCCGGACCCTGCATTCACTATATCCGGCTCTATATCCCCCGGACCCTGCATTCACTATATCCGCTCTCCCCGGACCCCGCATTCACTATATCCCTGCATTCCTATATCGCTGCTCTCCCCGGACCCTGCATTCACTATATCCGCGTCTCCCCGGACCCTGCATTCACTATATCCGGGCTCTCCCCGGCATTCACTATATATCCCTCTACCCGGAACCCCGCATTCACTATATCCGGTCTCCCCGGACCCCTGCATTCACTATATCGGCTCTCCCCGGACCCTGCATTCACTATATCCGCTCTCCCCTCCGTCTCCCCGGACCCCGCATTCTCACTATATCCATGGTCTCCCGGACCCCTGCATTCACCGCTCTCCTCACTATATCCGGTCCGGACCCTGCATTCACTATATCCGCCCTGCTCTCCCCGGACCCTGCATTCATTCACTATATCCATTCTCCCCGTCTCCCCCCGCATTCACTATATCCGCTCTCCCCGGACCCTGCATTCACTAATCCGCTCTCCCCGGACCCTGCATTCACTATATCTCACTCCGGTCTCCCGGGTCTCCTATATCGGTCCCCCCTGCATTCCACTATTTTCACTATATCCGGTCTCCCCGGACCCCCAATATCACTATATCCAGTTTCCCCGGACCCCGCATTCACTATATCCCGGTCTCGCCCGGACCCGACGGTCTCTGCATTCACTATATCCGGTCTCCCTATCCGGACCCTGCATTCACTATATCCCCGGGTCTCCCCGGACCCTGCATTCACTATATCCCGGTCTCCCCGGGCATTCACCCTGCATTCACTATATCAGCTCTCCCAGCATTCTCTCCCCGGACCCTGCATTCACTATCCGCTCAGTCGCCCCGGACCCCCACTCTCCCCGGACCCTGCATTCACTATATCCGCTCTCTCCCGGACCCATTTACTATATCCGCATTCACTATATCACTATATCCGCTCTCCCCGGACCCCGCATTCACTATATCCGGTCCTCCCCGGACCCCGCATTCACTATATCCGGTCTCTATTTTCCCCGGGACCAGTTTCCCCCCGCATTCACTATATCGGTCTCCCCGGACTCTGCATTCACCCCGGACCCTGCATCCTGTCTCACTATATCCGCTCTCACCCGGACCCTGCATTCACTATATCCATTCACTCTCCCCGGACCCTGCATTCACTATATCCGCTCTCCCGGTCTCCCCGGACCCTGCATTCACTATATATCCGGTCTCTCCGGACCCTGCATTCACTATATCCGGTCTCCCCGGACCCCGCATTCACTATATCCGCTCTCCCCGGACCCTGCATTCACTATATCCGCTCTCCCTGGACTCCTCTCCCCGGACCCTGCATTCACTATATCCTATGATATCCGCTCTCCCTGGACCCTGCATTCACTATATCACGCTCTCCCTGGACCCACAGTACACACAACATGGAAATGCAATTATTTTAGTAACTATAAACTGCTAAATCCCTTTTCTCATCAGCAGTGTATAGCAGTCTTGTAACTTCAGCAGAGTACTGGTTAAAGCTTGTAGGAGGGTTTTCTTTCTGCTCTAGGAGGATGCAGAACCCCTGACCTCTGTCTGGACAGTGCTGATTGGTCCTGTGCTGATCACATGCACTCTTCCAAGGAAAAAAAAAACCTCTCTAGCAATACATGTCAAACTGAGCATGTGCAGAGTGTATCCACATGATATGTTTTTATCAGGAGATGGACCGGGGACAGTAGAAGGGGAGGATCAGAGAAGACAGGTTCAAACAGCCTTTTTACACAATGCGGAGGATTAACCCCTTAGGTTCCACAGTGAGTATAACAAGCATGCTTTACTGCATCTACAGACTCCTGGGGCCCCCGGGCAATAGGAGATCCTGGGGCCCCCGGGCAATAGGGGATCATGGGGCCCCTGTGTCCTCTCCCATACTCAAACCACACCCAAAAAAGCCTATGAAAGGTACCAGGGGCATCTCATGGGGCCCCTTACAGACTCTGGGCTCTCGGGCAGTGCCCGAATTGTCAGTCCGCCCCTGCTTATATGAGATTTTAGTGATTGGAATGTCACTATACACAACTATGCAACTCATATCCCGGAAAGAAGGCGCGGCATCCTGGATCTATGGTCAAGCGAGACAGGTCCTCCTTAGACAGTGATATAATGAGTCCCCCCCTCCCCCAAGTTCTGTATCACATTGCCAATGGCGGCTGGGGATATGGGGGCGGACAGCAGGCGACAAGCTTTGAAGATTCGATGACGCTCTGCGGATGGACAGAGCTCTGCATATGCAAATGTCTTGTTTGTGAAACCATCTGATGAAAACATCTCAGAGCTGCCAATCGGGAGGCTTCCCAAATAAAAGGGGCAGGCAGCTCAGCTACCGCTGTTACCTTTGCAGCACTGAGGTCATGGATTCAGTTCCCATGTGGGGTGCTCTCTAACACAGGATTTGTATAGTCTCCCTGTGAATTCCTACATTTCCTCCAATCAGAGGTTAGTTGGTATCTGGCAAAACCGGAACTGTCCTGAGACAAGACAGAAAATTGTTTTCTAGATACTTACTGTAATTTTGCTTCTATGGCTCATGTTGGCAAATAATGAGAGCGGAGCCTGACCTGCTGTATGCTGACATGAGCAGCGCCAGGCCAAGGTGATACTATAGCATGGACAAGGTGGTGGTCAATGGTTGAGGTGATACTATAGAATGGTCAAGGTGGTGGTCAAGGTCATGGTGGCCGAGGTCATGGTCAATGGTTGAGGTGATACTATAGAATGGTCAAGGTGGTGGTCAAGGTGGCCATGGTCATGGTCAATGGTTGAGGTGATACTATAGAATGGTCAAGGTGGTGGTCAAGGTCATGGTGGCCGAGGTCATGGTCAATGGTTGAGGTGATACTATAGAATGGTCAAGGTGGTGGTCAAGGTGGCCATGGTCATGGTCAATGGTTGAGGTGATACTATAGAATGGTCAAGGTGGTGGTCAAGGTCAAGGTGGCCATGGTCATGGTCAATGGTTGAGGTGATACTATAGAATGGTCAAGGTGGTGGTCAAGGTGGCCATGGTCATGGTCAATGGTTGAGGTGATACTATAGAATGGTCAAGGTGGTGGTCAAGGTCAAGGTGGCCATGGTCATGGTCAATGGTTGAGGTGATACTATAGAATGGCCAAGGTGGTGGTCAAGGTGGCCGAGGTCATGGTCAATGGTTGAGGTGATACTATAGAATGGTCAAGGTGGTGGTCAAGGTCAAGGTGGCCATGGTCATGGTCAATGGTTGAGGTGATACTATAGAATGGCCAAGGTGGTGGTCAAGGTGGCCGAGGTCATGGTCAATGGTTGAGGTGATACTATAGAATGGTCAAGGTGGTGGTCAAGGTCAAGGTGGCCATGGTCATGGTCAACGGTTGAGGTGACATTATAGAATGGTCACGGTGGTGGTCAAGGTCAGGTTGGTCGAGATGGTGGTCAAGATCATGGTCAATGGTTGAGGTGATACTATAGAATGGTCAAGGTGGTGGTCAAGATCAAGGTGGCCATGGTCATGGTCAACGGTTGAGGTGACATTATAGAATGGTCACGGTGGTGGTCAAGGTCAGGTTGGTCGAGATGGTGGTCAAGATCATGGTCAATGGTTGAGGTGATACTATAGAATGGTCAAGATGTTGGTCAAGGTCATGGTCAACGATCTATTGTATGCTTCCCAACAGTCAGGTCCCTGGGCCATAGTTAACCTCTCCGACAGTCGGTTGTAGGCCCAACCAGAGTCTGGGATATCCAGCCTCGCCAAACCCTACCTCTAAGTATGCTAGGAAGGGCCCCAATTTGAAACCATGAGGTCTTGTATAGCCTACCTGACAGTGTACTCCTCAACCCCTATTGGGGTCCAGTCGTATCCCTGGCCAGGGGTGGCTCAAGCCCCTCCCTACCAATTGGAGTGCATGGCATTCTCCCCCAACTCTCTCCATCAGCAGCAACCAAAGGAAGGTGAGTTTGAGCGGCCAACAAGGGAAGTTGTCACTAGAGGTGCATGGAGGAGCCTGAATGAGCTCTGTCCACCTTGCACAGTGTATGATGGTCTCTGCTACACTGTGTGTTTCCCATCCTCCCCCCAAGCCAAACATGAGCCCCCACCCCCTGCTGACCCAATGGGGCCCCATACAGGAGAGCAGACTATTCTCCCCTATGAGTGCTCCTGATGGGAGAGCTTCCCACCCTGCATTGTGTATGATGGCCTTTGAAACACTGTATGGTACTCAGCCCTGCTTGCAGCCAAGCACGCCCCCCCCCCCCCCGCTGACCCAATGGGGCCCCATACAGGAGGGCAGACTATTCTCCCCTATTAGTGGTCCTGATGGAAGAGCTGCCCACAGCACAGTGAATGATGGTCTCTGCAACA